CGTGCTCATCTAACATGTACGAGACGCAGGGTATTAAATCCTTACACATTTTATTTCAGATATTGAGGGTTACAATGCACGTATCATGTTAGGATAATGACTCCCTCTGCTGGTGGGCCCTTGCCGATGCTGCCATGGACAACTGTCATAATGGACGCTTTAGGTCTGAGATTGCATTTTTTCATACAAGCCCACAGAACAAATAGGCTAGATCCTTGTGGTAAGCCATAATTCTATATTCAGCATTTAAATAATAGGCTTACTTGTTTTAAAGCATAAAGTAGTCCATATATATTCCAAAGCTTGAAATGCACTTTAGCTGAAACAAACATGTGTCTGTGAGCAATAAATCACGTACAGATAAAAAGCAGTGCTTATTTATTTTGTATATACGTATAATGTATACGCAAAATTTAATGTTCACAAAATAGTAACTGAGTTGAAATGTCTTCACTCTCTGTGCCACATGGTCTAGCAGAGATCTGAACTTGGCCTGTCTTATCAATTATATGAAGGCCCTAATGAACATTCACTATGAAAGTTTGAATGTTTTGTTCTACATTATCTGAAAAAGTTATAGAAGGTAACGGAGTGGAGTTGTAAAAATGTACTTGATTACCCTCTTTTTGATTAATGTTTTGGAGGCAGTTGGGAGTCCTATAAACTGTGACAAATTTCTGTAAAATTACAATGAAATTTCAACATTAAACAAATGTTATTTTGAAAAACAATTCAAACATGCAAATTGAAGTATAAATTGGTTAAAAAACATCCAATGGCATTTTATTACCACAATTATGATGTGATTACAAAAAAACGTTACAATATATTATTATTACCGTAATTTAACATAAACTTTTTGTATTTTTGGAATGCTGGGAAATATTTGCTTTAGTTAGAATGACGCTTTTGCAAGTAAAGAATTCAACAATTTTCTTGTACAAACTGAAGATGTTAAAAAATAATTGAAAAGTTGGGTTCATTAAAGTAAAACAAATTAAACTGTCTAGTTTTCTGTTCAATTAAACTATTTAGAAACAGAAACAGTCAAATGGTGTAATAATACAAAATGAACATTATAATGCTGTTTTTGTTGTATGTGAATTAACAGGAACATACAGTTAAATCCTGAAATCACAAAGACATAACGTGATTCAGTGAAACAGTCTTTAAATGTTAAAATTAGCAACGGTAATGCCATGTTGAGAAAACGGTAAATCCATGGAACCATATTTGCCAGCTTTTTACCGTTTTTCTACAAGGAAATTCTTTATAGTGTAGTTTCAAAACGGCTCAGTAGAGGGAGTGCTAGAGCAGTTGGTAATGGAGTGGAGTAGGGTATACAATTATCAGACAGGAAAGTAAAATACACATAGTTTGAATTTAATTTTGAACATGTTGAAAGATTTTGTTCATTATAATTCAAAATTGTTCGTATTGTAATACAAATTGATATTCTGTATGAAACTTGTGATAAAATCCTTTGAATAGATTCAACTAGAAATGAAATCAACTGCAGTAAACTGTAGAATACTGCAGAAATCTGATTATGTGTCACAGAGAAAATCACCCATCACAAATATATGATACACATAATTTGCGATCCTCACAATAATTACTGTGTTCCCTCCCAATAAATATGATAGAATTCCATTTCGTACATCTGATTTATGCAGAAACATCACTCTAAAACATTCTTTCCCAATGTTTTTTTACGTATGTTTAACATATTGCAATACTTAATGATATTGAATTGCAATTTGAATTTGCAATATATTTGATTGAAACCATCTATTGTGAAGATGATTAATGACATATGTAGTCCCAGCACTATTAAACATACCGGCTAATTCAAGCTCTTACTAATCTATAATTGCCACTATCGATATTAAACAAACCAGTCTGTAACTTCCAAATTGCAAAAAAAAGTTGAACGTGTTTTTGGAGCACTTACAGCTGGTAAAGAGCTCGACATCATCACCGTTGAAATACATACCCACGGGAATGCAGCAGTCCACACCTCAGCCTTGGCTCCAGGTTTGATCCACGTTCTGTGACATTCCTGCTGCGTGTTGAGACGTGCTCCTGAGAGCCAAAAGAAAATATCAACATGTACTTTCTTTCCTCGTGTCATGTCTCCGTTCATCGCGCCTGGAGATAATTTTACCGTGTTTTTTTTCTTTTCAAACATCATTATCTAGTTAATCTATGCTATCTACAATCTGTAATCTATGTCTTATTCAAGCCAAATACTTGAGTTGAGAACTGTATTTCTTCGAATAGTCCCGTTGTGTCTTTATACCTTTGTGTTGCAGTTACAGTCTGTGTTTTGTGTTTGCTCAAAAGCTCATTCCAACTGAAGACAACAATATTAGACTCACAACATGCACAGAGACATATTATGCCAAGCCTGTATTTGTTATATATATTATGATTATGTCTTCCAGTTCATTTTCAAAATATTCTAATTGTCTGAGATGTTTTATTTGGACAATCTCCATGTGAGCCATTATTATCTATAGTGCAACGAATAAAGGATTGATATATATCAGATTCAGATTCATTTTATTAGCCATGTGCAGTATACAAACTACATTGGAATACATTTGCAAAGAAAGGTACTCTGTGTGCACCGACAGAATAAAGAACACGATACAATGTAATATAAAATACACATACACTGAATATAAAAGAATAAAAAAAACAGCTGACACTGTGGCACCGATCAACAAAACGATACAAGGGGTAAAAGCAGGAATTAAAGTGCTCTGTTTAGGCACCTAACAGCTTGTGGAAAGAAGCTGTTAGCATAGCGAGATGTCTTGCATCTCAGCGACCGATATCTTCTGCCAGAGGGAAGAAGCTGGAACATGGCTTTCCCAGGGTGGCCAGAAGAGTCATTAACAATCCTAAGAGCTCTGTTTAAAAGTCTGGATTTATAAAGAACCTCCAGAACAGGAAGCTCACAGCCCACGGTCCTCTTTGCAGAGCGGAGCACCTTGTTTAAAGCTCTCTTTTCTTTATCTGTGATGTTTCCAAACCACACAGTCACAGAACCAATAAGTAAACTCTCAGTGGTGCAGCGATAAAAGTTAAGCAGATTCTTAGAGTTAGTGGTAAATTCTCTAAGTTTCCGCAAAAAGAAGAGCCGCTGACGTGCTTTCTTAACGACCCGGTTAGTGTTTTTAACCCATTTCAGGTCATTAGAAAGAGTTAAACCCAGGAACTTGCACTCCTCTATGATCTGCACCTGGGAGTTGTCGATAACTACAGGAGTGTGAGAACTGCTACGACTGAAGTCAAAGACAAGTTCACATGTTTTTGCAGTGTTCAGCTGGAGATTGTTTACTTTACTCTACTGAAAAAAATGTTCAATCTCTGCTCTATAAGAGGATTCATCATTGTCACTGATGAGACCGATGATGGTGGTGTCATCAGCATATTTGATGATCAAGTTGGAGTCAGAGGAGGACACACAATCATGAGTGTACAAAGTAAAAAGCAAAGGACTCAAAATACATCCCTGAGGAGAACCAGTGCTCACAGAAACAACATCAGAAAGACAGTCATTGATTTTTACTCTCTGAGATCTGTCAGTTAAAAAGCTAAAAATCCATTTACACATGGCAACATTCAGACCAAGGGACATTAGTTTTTCAACCAATATGCTTGGGACAAGACAATTAAAAGCAGAGCTATAATCAATGAAATCACTTTTATAAGATAAGATAAGAGATTCTTTATTCCTCCCACAGTGGGGAAATGTTGTGTGTAATGAGTTTAATATGTATTATTTGCAGATGATGTTGAATTACAGAAGTGAATGGACTTTTGAACAAAATTACAATCGCTTGAAAAAATGTAAAAATAAATAAATAAATAATGATGACAACATTAAATGAATAAAGATTACTTACTTATTATTTTATGCTATTTTTTCTTCAATGCTAATATGTCATTGAGCAATTTGGGCCATGATACATACACATTACAGACAACACAATTCCTCTTGCACTTCAATTCTATTCTTTTTATCACTGGACTTTAGAGGTCCGCTTTTTACTCTGGTCCATGTTAACATAATTTAACCTGGAATGTTTCCCGGTATATGGCAGTACACGTAGAAAGACGAAAAGTACACGAAGACGAGTGATTTGAACAGAATAAATTACTTGTCATGTCTACATAGTGGAGAGCTAATACAATGTAAGAATAATTGTATAAGCATTAAAGCCTCTGTAGTACTAGTTATATAATGTACACATTTTAGCTATATTCCAAGCAAAGACATAACATCTCCATGGCAACAAGCAGGTAGCACACCCCATGAGGAAAGTTGTACATTTTAAATGGGATACCTAATTTTCAAATCATATGAACTGTCTTCTCTTCCTTGTGCTCTTATACGGTTTTATTCTCAGTGTTTTGTAATATTTTTAGATATGAATTTTATTTCAATGCAAAATTGACACATTACACAATTAGCATAAAATGTTGTTCCCTGTCAAGTTATATTATAAATAAAATAAAATCTAACATCTGATCACAAAAAAATTTAGGGTGTATTTAAATCCATCTCATACGATGTCACTCCCAACACAGAGTGGTTCTATTGCTAGTTTTTTGCATGTATGTATCTTTGGCCTCTTTCTTTGCACTCTTTCTAACACATATGCAAACAATAATATGTTTTCTATTAAGATGAGGACAGTGCATTTCTCTTAAGGCTCTTTCTGTTGAGCATGTATTATTTATGAAATACAAAAAGTTAGGTATCCCAGCTTTAACCTCCTCGCTCCTGTTTAGTGGATGTACAAGTAATGCCAGTAACATGTGGAATTTGTCGTTGCGGCTGCTCTCTTGCCCCGGGACACCCTCACCCCACCCCCCTCTCCTCTCCTGTCTTGTGTGTGTGTGTGTGCGTGTGTGTGTGTGTGTGTGTGTGCGCGCGCATATCTCATTTGAACCAGGACATCCACTGTGGCACTGGCTTCTGCTGCATGGGACCCCCTTCTCCTCCCATGGCCTGTACCTGTCCCCCCCCAGGATCCTACACTGTGGTCATTATTCCCCTGAGAAGCAGCCTGTACAGCCTGGATGCACTGCGCTTCTACCTGTGGGTGAGTAGATGACATGTATGGGAGAAGCCTTTTTGAATGTGTAGATTGGAAGGATAACTCTTTAGGGTGTATAACTTTCAAAAGAAAAAAATAGAACTATTTTGATGAAATATATTAACTACAGTATAGTTCTTGTCTCAAAAACAGTCCTTTCACTAGTTTTGACATAGTAAGTAAGTAATCTTTATATTTATACCGCCTTTCACAGACTAGAGTCACAAAGCGGTTTACAATTATCATTTTTGGGCATTTGTCTCTCACTCCACACAGAGATGGGAGCGGGGTCACCAGTACAGGAGGCGCATGCCAGACCTATTGTACATGTTTTTAGTGGTAGGGGAAAACCTACGCAGACATGGGGAGAACATGCAAACTCCACTCAGAAAGGCCCTGTTCCGACCAGGATTCGAACCCAGGGCCTTCCAGCTGAGAAGCGAGAGTGCTATCCACTCAGCCACCGTGCCGCCCAACATGCATGTTTTTGGCCTCTTGCGTGTGTATGATGTCACAATATCTATTTATTAAACAAATATGCCGTATTGAAAATGTGTGATGGTGACATAGTTTGTTTTATTGTTTGATCAATGTATCTCTGTAGCAAAAGATTGTTTTCATGTTGCGCAATGTGTATTTGCTGTAAGTGTGTGTGTGTGTGCATGTCTTTCATGGTTCTTTCCCATAATAACTTTGGCACGTGCCCTCCAACTGAAATAGGACTCTAGAAAATGACCTTATTGGACGAGATAATACTGTGGATTTTCAGTTTTGTTTTTTTGAGCAAGCTATGTGGGTAGAACAATAATTAGTAATAACTAATCACAAGAAACTTATGTACATTTACAAAATATAGCAAAACAAAAAAATACACATAAATATTTTTTTTTTATTTTTTTCACTGCAAAACACTTATGGATTATAAAAAAGGAGTGGGAAGAAACATACACTTATTCAATTCCACCCTTAATTACTTCAGTCATTACTTAGGTAAAGTAAAGGCTTCCATTTAGCTCCAACTTAATTTGGCACAGATTTCAATATCTTACATCTTGATTGTTAGCATAAGAGTTAAGAAAATATCATCAAAGGACAAATGTAAGCCCTATGAGGACAAAACAACTGCATGCAATAAATACCAACAATGGTAAGAAAATGATACTCCAAAAATTAAGCAACAAGAACAAATACATGCCAACATGGGAAAAGCTATCTCTCTGTATTCGCACCAGACATTGTTTTTCTATAATGAACTTAAATTTTCTTTAAGTTAATTAAGCATTGCATTAATTGAGGATCCCGAGCATTGCACAGTTTCACACCACATACAGTCAAACAGAAACTTTTACAATTAGATAGAATTTTGGAAGTTTAAATATTCCAAAACCTCTGAGACTAAAGTTTTTATTCTTATTCTATGTTATAAGGTAGCAATTTGTGAAATGCTTTGAATACATCACAAAATACATTTGAAAGAAGGTAATCGCTATTGTGTGACTATATACCTTTTTTGCACACATTAAGTTGTTTTAGGCTCACTACACTGTTTTTTGGGTGTGCAATTTTTGATAAGCTGAGAATGCTTGATACTGCTGTGTTCCAGATAAAGCGTTTGAAGGAGTTAGAGCAGGAGAAGGACGCCCTGTGGTGTGGTCTGGACATCCTGGAGAAGGCCAAACTCTGGTATCTCCAGAGGCTCCAGGAAAATAAGCAGAGACAGCACAGCTCATCCCCCAGACACTGCTCAGAGGTACGATGGGACATGCCTTAATATTGGTTCCCCTTTATCAGACTAAAGTTATGATAACGCATGGACACTGGTTCACAGTACACATACACACACACAGACATATATTGAGATACATTATTACTATATATCACCCAGCCCTATAATTCTAGCCATTGGAAGGACTTCTTGAGATCAGACACTTCTGCTATGTGCCGGTGATACATCCCAGAGCACCTGCTTGCCACCGGTTGGGCCTTATTTTTATTTTATTTTTTTAAATTTGGAAAATATAGACAAACAATAAAGGTGCAGACGTACAAACAAATACAGATACAATAAGACAGACGTGGATGTGTATGAACGGGAGCGTTATTTTAGTCCCCACTCAGATTCCCATTCACCAAATCGGTAATCTTCTGGATGAGATTGAGGTGTCTTGTATAGATATACGTTTTTATAGTTTGGAGGTTATTTTCCTTGTGTTAGTAATTTTAATTATATATATATTTAGTTTTTTTTTTTTTATATATATATATTCATTTTAACACAGATACAATACACAATTCAAAACAAACAGGTAAATGGCAAACATACATAGTACAAGACATACAAGAAGACATAGAATACAGACAGGGACAGTGAACAATGTTTTGTGTAGGTGTGTGTGTGTGTGTGCATGTGGTTTTTCCAATAGTTTATATGTATGTTATTGCGGGATTTCCAGTTCACAAAGATGGTTTTCTTGGCGATGGTTAGAGCTATCAAGAGTAATCTAAAGTTTATGGCTGTATCAGTGATCATTGATAGATCCCCTAGCAGGCAGAGGGGGGGGGGGGATAATGGGATGTGGCAGCCCAGCAGAGATGATAGTGACCATGTGACCTCTTCCCCAAAGTGTTTGATGGGGGTGCAGTTCCAGGTAGCATGAATGTATGTATCGGGTCAGTTCTGAGTGCAGTGTGGACAAATGTCTGATGTGAAACCCATTTTAGCCAGCCTACTTCCGGTGTAGTGTGTTCTGTGCAGTGTCTTGTATTGTATTAATTCAATGTTGGCATTTTTGGACATGTAGGAGATATTTTTACAGATCTGGGACCAGGAGTTAGCATTGGGAGCAATTGACACATATATACTTAGTTTTGATGTAACTAATGTATTACTTGTTATAATACTTTTAGATTTTATTGCATATTTAAGTTGCTGGTGCGAACTGATCTCTCCCAACCCTGCACTTTTGGATCTTCTGCTTGATGTTTTCATAGAGTTGCAATATTTTGTCCAGGAAAGTGGCTGTCACACTCTTGTCCTCGGCCTGCTTCTTTACGGCTTGAATACAGTCTCAGGGTTTGGGATGGAACCTCTTGTCTTCTAGACTAAATGTGTCCCTAATTCACCAAATAATTCAACTGAAGAAGGATCAACTATTTCACACAGAGAATACAACGTCACCACAGTTGGCGTGTATCAGTTGTAATTAGATTGCAAGATTAGGACTGACCAATTATTGGCCAGGATTATTGTTTGTGCCCATATTTAGTCATAAATGGATATCAGTAGGCATCTTTTTCCTTTAAATAACTGGACTTGAATAACAAATGATTGTTCTTGTCCAGCCTGTAGTGGTTGATTTGCCTTAGTCCACCGCCTAGCACGGCCCTGCTAACTGTATTTGTATTGCCCTAATTCAGCAGTCGTCTTCGAGGATTAAAACAACAGATCAGAGAATATAAAAAATCAGAACACAGTAAATGCAATTAATAAAACAAATACATAGGAGCCTTTGTGTGCTTTTCAAAGGAACTCAAAGACATCTTCAGACAAAAAAGAGCTCAACAAACAAAATTCAGACAAAATAGCTGCATATTCAATAAAACCACTTCAAATAAAAGTCAGCATAATTGACCTGGGGATTATCCAGGCCATGAAGTCCACATTGCTTTATAAATGTGATTGAAGAAACAATTTATTTGAATAAAATGGCTGAAGAATACAAATCTCTGGTGCACTCTGTGACCTTTGTCTGGAACTATATTCCAGAGAAAATGTTGAATGACTATATGTACAAAACATTTCAAATAACCACACAACAACAAATGTAAAGTCAGGATATATATATAAAAAAAGGAAATGTGTGTGTGAACAGGCGGACTCGTGTCTTGTGAGGTGTCGGATCCAGAGGGCTAACGGTTCTCTGGGTTGTGTGATGAATGAGCCCAATGTGACCAGCAGCACACACTCACTGCCTGAAGCTGTGGACGACAGCGACCTCCGCTGGCACAACACGCTACTGACTAAGGTTCAAAACGCTTCTCACTTTTGTTCTATTGTCTTTAAAGCTGTTGCAATAAGGCTTTGTTTTGTGATCATTTGTTTCCAGGAGGTTAGTGAGATGAATCATAAAATTAGTTTGCTGAAAATGGAGAAAGACACTCTCTTGGAACAACTGGAGGATCTCAGGACCCACTGGCAATGACTAAAAAGAAGGTTGCATTATATAAGATTTTGTAAATATGTACTTAAAATAAACATTATATATTTAATATTGGAGACGTATTTGTTACTGTTTTATTTTACGTTTGTCCCAGTTCTGCCTTTTTGCTGTTTAATCAATTTTACAGGAATTCCCACAACAGTAACTTTATCTTATAAGTGAACAACATTATTTTTTTTTATTATGGAAGAAACAAATATGTATGTTTTTAAAAGTTAGTGATAAAAACTTTCATTTTAGTTCATGGGGTCACCAAAATGAGCAGAATCTGGTTGCGATCTCTTTCATAATGATAGGCTGTATTAACACTGAACCGTCAGACCCAGAGTACCAGCACTCTGCTAATTACCGGCTATCATTCCTGGTGGTGCCGCAAACATCTTTTGTTAAGACAGTGCACGCCTCCATGACTGTCAATCCCACTCTTCCCCATCTCCTGCTCCAGTGATTCGCTCTGCTGCCCCTCTCAGATCCTTATACAGCATACAATATCTTGTTGATGTTTGTCTCCAACAGCTCCACAGGAAGCATGCAGCTATTTTCATACAGGACAATGGAGGTACCCTCAACACCTATTCTGACACACAATCCCCTTTAATAATAGAGCATTTTTGAGAAATAGCCAACATACAGTTTTTGATCTTAATGGGTGATCCGTGACACCCATATTTCCATAAGCAGGAGTGCAAGTCATTTTGGATTAGAAGGTTCTTGTTGTTTAATAAAAACAAAAAAAAACACACACACACACACATTATTTTTATTTTTTTTCTAAATGTCACTTTCTGAAATATTTATTTGTATTATTATTATTCCCATTATCATTCCCATTAACTATACTGGAATACATATTTCCACTGCCTAATGGTAGTGTCTTTGAACTTGTATACGACAGTTGAATAATCATATGTGAGGCGACAGTAGCTCAGTTGGTAGAGCGTTGGCCTTTGAGCCTGATGGTTGTGAGTTTGAGTCCACCTCAAGACTTTCTCCACCCACTCCCACTGATGTCTGCTGTCAGTGTGTCCTTGGCAAGACACTTGACCTGTGAGAAAACCTGATGTCAGAGTGGGGCGGTTGTGGCTGTAAAGTGCCGGTGTTTCCTTAGATAAGGACACAAATGCAAACTCCAGTGTGTGAATGGTTGGTGGTGGTCGGAGCAGCCGATGGCACATACTGGTGGCCTCGCTTCTGTCAGTGTGCCCCAGGGCAGCTGTGGCTACAGTAGTAGTTTATCACCACGTATGGAGTGAATGACTAACGACATGTAAAGTGTCTTTGAGTGTCCAAAAAGCGCTCTATAAAACCGATGCATTATTATTATTGTCATTCATACATATAAGGGGATTTCCCTGCATGGGGTTCTCCTATAAAACTCATGATTTGTTTTGAGCTTGAATGCTTGAATCAGATTTACCCAGTGGCTGGTTCTGTCCTTCCTCTCTGTGAGCCAGACTTTACCTCCAGCAGGGACTGCAGGTGCTTGATGTAGTCGATGGCCGCGCGCAGAGTGTCCACTTTACTGAGGCGCTTGTCCTCCAGCTCCCGGGGCAGGTGCTCCCGGGGCAGGTGCTCTCGCAGACGCGCGTACCCCTCGTTTACGCAGCGCACTCTCTGTCTCTCCCGCTCGTTTCTCTTGCGGACAAATGCAGGTTCAAACGTGTACTCACACACACTGATAGGGCCGTGGAAGTAAGGCAGTCTGCTGTAGAAGATATGTCCACGGACTCGGTTCAAATAGGCGCTGTCAAAGGATGAGCGCAGAGTCTGCAGGTCCGGGTAGTGCGCGCCTTCACTCACGGACATGTCGTGCAAAGTCATCGGACCCGTAAGTGTGAGATTCTTCCATTCTTCCAGCTTCCATTTATCGCAAAAGACATCTTTCTAAGGCAATACATGTGTAAATACATGTGTAAAATTAGTAAATGTATACATAATAATAATAACAATAAAATAAAATAAAAAAGCCTAAATAAGTCAACCTACCTTCTGATCTGAGACTGCAGACATACCTTCAGCCAGTACGTGAAATGAGCAGCCTGAACACTGTGTATTTGATACAGGTAAGCTGCGGTTTTAAGGCGGAGATGCATAAAGACTTTTTCATCAAGATAAAAGTTGTTGACAATGTGCTCCTTCCGTTCCCACATGCTCCAGGATTGCACAGACCAGTTATAGCAACACTAAAGGAAAAAGTTCGACCATGTTATGACTTATCTGAAAGACAATATAACACATTTGTCTAAGGGATTTTTAATTTAAATGAAAAATTCCTGTACGTACAACTGCCTCTGTCCGGTGTGCGCATGCGCAGTCTCAGATCCCATCATGGCTCCGTTCAGTGAGGGCTGCTGGACATTTTGTTGTTTTTAGTGTTTTTAGTCTCATTTTTGTTATTTTATTGCAGTTATATTACGAACCTAAACACATATTTTGATCACGATGAAGGTCAGTGGTTACTTCGTGATTTTTGTTTTATGGTTTTCATTTTTATGTAAAACTGGCCATCTGTAGAGTGTGTTTATGCTAGTGTTAGCTGAGGGAAAAGAGCATGTCGTCTTGTTTTTCTTTCATAAAACAACATCAACAACGTTCAATACATGTGACATGTTCTTCTCTATTTGGTCCAGGAGTTCTGTTGCCCAGCACAGGCGGAGGCTGTTAATTAAACTCTATTATGAAACGTATAATGCTAATGTCAAGTAAGTCTTTTAACTACAATTCCCTATCCAAAGTAACTGCTGCACACTGATTGTCATGATGATGTTCCAGGATGAATGAGATGAATTTGAGTCCAGTGGGAATGGACCAGCTCAACGTGCCCTCAGTCAGTGGAAGTCATCTGGGTTTGCCTACATCCCCTACACACAACACCATACCTACCGCAGGTAAGGAGAATGACCTAATATCGCAAATGTTATGCCTTGCCTTTGGGGGTCACTAATGTTTTTATTGAGTTTTTTTTGTAATGATTTTTCTGTGATTTAATTTTGATTAGAGTACCTATTTGTTTTGTTTGTTTGTCCCATCTGAAAAAGTCTTGCATTTTGTGAAAAAATCAGATCACCTCATGATGTCTTTATATTATTATAAAACACTAAAAAGCTGAACATGGAGTGATAGAACCAAACTATTTACATGGACATAGCTGGTTTTTGTGGTGTCAAAATTAGGTACTCCCGTTTTAAAGAACATGTGATTTTGGTGATTAAATTCTGTGTTTTTATTATAGACAATAGTAGTAGTAAGTAATCTTTATTTGTATAGCGCCTTTCACAAAACAGAGTCACAAACCTCTTTTACAATTGTTGTGGGCATTTGTCCTCTCACTCTACACAGGAAGTGGATTCGTCAAGCGCACGCCAGACCTATTGTACATGATGTTAGTGGTAAGGGAAACCTAGGCAGACACAGGGATAAAATGCAAACTCCACACAGAAAAGCCTGGAGGTGGAATAGAACCCAGGACCTTCTTGCTTTGAAGCACAAGTGCGGTCCACTGTGCCACTGTGCCGTCTAGAAAGAGTCACTTACATCTCGCATGAATAATTGATCGATGCCCATTACTAGTACTGTATATTTTCATTTGTCTGCACAATCCTGAACGGAACGTTTGTTTTAAATGTTTTATTTTCACAAGGCCTCAAAACAAAAACATTTAAAACAGACGTCTGTAATATGCACTCTTGGTGGTCTAATAAAGATCTATGATTGGATAATCTGCTTGAAAAATTCTAAATAAAAATATTATGGACATCGTGTCCATTGTCCATCCATCCATCCATCCATCCATCCATTTTCTTCCCCTTAATCCATTTCTGGGTCGGGGGGGTGGCCAGAGATGCCACCCAGCACACAGAGCACCAGCCCCTCACTGATCCTCCTGCAGGTGGTGAGTCCACAGGAGCTGAGATCTTTCAGTGGGGGCTTTAGGCAAAGTGGGGTTAAGTGTCTTGCCCAAGGACACAACAACAGTAGTCATCAGTGGGAGTTGTGAAGTAGGTCTTATGGTGTGCTTGAACCCACGACCTTCAGGCCCAAAGGCCAATGCTCTACCAACTGAGCTACTGTCGCCCACCAAGGGACGTGTCCATTGTATTTTCAAATAATAATAACTGCCCTTTAAAATGTTGTTTGAACAATATAAATTATGATGGTACATGTTTTTGGGGTTACATATAAATGCTGTTGTAATGAAAAAAAAACTCCCTTTTAATTAAAAGATAAATAATATCTGGTTTTATTATAAATGTGTTTGCTCAATTAGAAAGATTTTTTTGTAATTAAAACTAGACTATCCATCCAATTTCTCCTGCTTTATCTATAAGGGACCTCCCTGCGTGTGCTATCCAAGCACAGCTCCTCCAGCTCTTAAATTGATTACCAAAAATTAACGTATACTGATATTTCCATCTATCCATCCATTTTCTACCCTTTAATCCATTTCTGGGTCAGGGGGGTGGCAATCAGAGCTGCCACCCAAGTCTCATAGCACCAGCCCCTCACTGCTCTCTGAGTGTGAGCATAGCCTTGATCTTTCAGTGGGGGCTTTGGGCAAAGTGGGGTTAAGTGTCTTGCCCAAGAACACAACGACAGCAGTCATCAGTGGGAGTCGGTGGAGAAGGTGTAGAGGTGGGAATTGAACCCACGACCTTCTGGCCTTAAGGCCAATGCTCTACCAACTGAGCTACTCTGTTTCTCCCTCTACTACATGTACATGTTATTCGCTGTCACGATGATGATGTTTTGCAGGTATGCCTGTTGCCATCCCCAGCCTTGGCCCATCTCTGGGCTCTCTCCCCTCTGCTCTGTCGCTGATGCTGCCCATGGGTCCGCTGGGTGACCGGGGAGTGATGTGTGGCCTACCTGAGAGAAACTACCCGCTGCCCCCTCCTCCGTATCCTCATCTGGAAAGCAACTACTTTAGGCATATACTTCCAGGTGGGTTTCAGCACCAGAATGTATCTCAAAACATTTAAAGTGACAAACCCATGCTAGACCTTTCTTACATCAAAATAGATTTAAAAAAAAATAATTGAATCTTAAAGTATAGTCCTGAAATAATCTCTCTCATCCTTTGGTACCTTTGGCGCTCTCTGATTGGTCGGTCGAAATTCAAGCGATTGTAATCGCTAACACAGGGACCAGACACAGACGTTACATGCAGGAAAATGGTGATTGACCGGAGTGTACGGATGGCTAAGGCCAGGCTACTGCAGCCCTAGTTTAGACCCTGAAAAGTCTTTATTTAGATCATATTTTGCTATGGATACTCAGGAGTATTTCTATAGGTGTAGAACTTTGAGATCTATTGCAACATTACGAGTGTTCCTCATGACCTCCTTATATTTTTGTTCTGTAGGTATTCTGTCCTATCTGGCTGACCGCCCCCCTCCTCAGTATATTCATCCCAGCAGCCTTAACATGGATGGACCTCTTTCTGTAGCCAGCAATAACCCCTCAGGCCTCGATCCTTACAGTGGCCCTGGTGGCCCTATGGAGCAGGGTCTGGTGCCCATGGACTCCCGCCAGGTCAATAGTCAGTCTGACCTCCATCAAACAGGCCACGAACTGGGCTCCACAGCTCTAGCTCTGGAGTCCCGTGTCAGCAGCCCCATGTCTGACAGAATGGGAGAAGAGCTGACTTCTATGGACGGGGTAGGTGTAGTGTCAGACTCACAGCAGCTGGGAGGTGGAAGGCAGCCTCAACCGCATGACGGGCTCGCAGGCGTGGACTCATCCGGGGCCGTCATCTCTCTCCATGGGCCGTCAGTGCTGGAGCTGCCTGTGGTGATGGAGCCAGACCACATGGGAGGGGGAGTGGGTAACACTGGGGAGCGGATGCACTCAAACGGAGCGCTGAATTCCAGTGTGGTCAGTGTGGTGCTCACAGGAGCCATGGGCGGGCAAGGGCAGCTGCAGCCTGTCTCTCTGCACGGACACGGTGGTATGGGCCTGGAGGCTGTGAATGTAAATGTGTCGCCCATCACCGCGGAAGTGTCACTAGGGCCAGAAAACAACCTGGTGCTGGTGAACTCCACCCTACAGCTAGAAGACTCTACCTCCAACAAAGAAAACATGGTCGCTACTTTCTCTATATGTAAGTACAATTCATTGAACTAAACTGAGAACTAAGTATTCCGTCCTAGCCTGGTCGTACCACACCATAGTGCAAATTACATTTCGTACTAAGGTCTGGAGGTGCTCCATTGGGCTCCGTTAACAGGTGGGAGGGGATACCTCCTTTTGCAGATTGAAACGATTGGATCTGAGTTTACCGCCACGTATGTTATGCGCCCGAGTGAGTCGTTAGCATTTAGCCTAGCCATCTCCTTTGCCGCTAACGGAGCCGGTGGGGAGTAGCGCCACAATCTTTGCCAGCAAAGAAACTTGCTAAACATTCCTCTTGCTCTGGCTTCAATTTCTTGATAGAACCAGACCGGAATCCTTTACTGTCGCATTCTTCACCATTGCCAAACTACAACCTGCCCGTTCGACGCAAACTCTTGACGTCACCCACAACTACCTACAACACCTCTCCTCCCGTGCTAGCTGATTGGTTGGATGGAATTCAACCAATTGTAATCGCTAACACAGGGACCAGACCCAGACGTTATATGCAGGGAAATGATGATAAATTGAAGGGAAAGGATGGAATACACTCCGCTCAATCAAGTTTTTTTGCCCATAAATGCATCATATATATTTTGAGAAAAAGTGAGTATATCCTAATGTGAACCAGTTGTACATCAAGCCCACAAATTTAACTAGTTTTCTGTGCAGTTAGGGTCAAAAATGTTTTCTAGAATACTTTGGTAATTGAAGGCAAAGAAATCACTATCATAATTTAATAATACAATATTCAAAGGTGAGCCTTTGTATATACAATAGGTAAAAACTACCTGGCAACTTTCTGTTAACAAGACATAGTTGGTATATTTAAATACATACCTACTCATCGTCATGTTATTCTTAATCTTGATCATATGTTGAATGTAATGATCTGCATCATCCTAGCTGCAGTTATAAACTTGTGACATCTTGGTAAAACTCTTCCTCATCTTCAGGGTGCACACTGTGTGAGCGCTCTTATACCTCAGACTGCCCCGAGCACGGACCGGTCACCTTCATCCCTGATTCCCCCATTCAGACCAGAGCACGCCTTTCGCTGCCTCGCCCACTGTGCCTGCGCATCTCTGTAGCAGATGAACCTCTAGGTGAGAAGTAAGCCATTATCCTCCTATGCTGGGAGATTATCCTGGACATGGTTTTGACAAACTTGAAAACTATACTTTTCTCAGCTCGCTATGTTTATAGTTGTTTTCCTTGCCATTTACACACAGACACACTAAGCTTTTTTTTGTTATCCTCACATATGTGCACCTTCACTGTTCTCTCCTCTGACTACCAGCACACTGCCCTTCCCCTGGGTTTTACTCACTTTCTTTGGTACTCACTTTTCTGTGGCCGGTAAGAAAATATCATTGCATTGCAAATTTGTCGGTGGAGGATTAGAGCCATGCCTTCAGGCATCCGACAAATAGGCGAGGTCATGTGGCACAAGTGAACTTATGAAGGAGCTCCCATTTCACATGAGCTGCATATTTTATAAAAAGCCACAGGGGTCATAAAGAACAAAAATGTGTTATAACCCCTTTAAACAAAGCCAATTCACATACTTGAATAAAATCTTATACATATACAAGGCAATTAAACCAAAATGGATTGACAAGCTGATCCGTAAAGCTGAACAGGTTATTGGCTGTCAGCTGGACACCATTACAACAGTGAGAGACAGAAGGTCACTGGAAAAACTGCTCTCCATCATTGACAATCCTACACATCTAATCCACCAGACTATAGAGGGGCAAAGGAGCTCCTTCTCAAACATACTCCTACAGCCCCGCTGCCACACTCACAGTGGTACAGAGTTCATGCCACACTCCATCCTGCTGTACAACGGGTCACCGCTCTGTGACAGATAATGCATCTAAACAGACTTCAAGTTTATTTGCTTTGTCCGTGTATATATTGTATATTTACAGATGTGTACTCCTATATCTCTGTATACTGCAAATGTGTCCATATTCACAGATATATATATATATATAATATTCCTGAGCACCTACATCCTGATTATTACAGTCTCACAAATATTATCATATTATTATTATTTTCAGATTGTTGCTTTAATCTTATTTGTATTCTTTTATTTTGAAATACTATGCAAGCTTCTGTGACAACTTAATTTCCCTTGTCGATCCATAAAGTCTAAGTCTAAGTTTAAGTCTAAAATGTCCTCATCGTTTTAGGAGTTTTTGCACGAGACATCATAGCTCCAAGAACATGCTTTGGACCAATGGTTGGCCAGCACTGCAGTAATGTAGATCTCTCGGACTGGCCAGAAAAAGACACACCACAGCTATGGAAGGTTTGTGATGGGGTTGCTTTTTTCTGTGTTCGGTGCTTATGTATGTGTTTTATATTTACAATGCCCTGTGTATTACAGATGTATCACAACAATGTGCTTGAATTTTACATTGTAACAACTGATGAGAATGAATGCAACTGGATGATGTTTGTCAGAAAAGCCAGGTGTGTATGTGGCCTTGATACTGATCTATACATTTTATTGTTTCCTGTCAAAAGTAAAATGTGTATATTTTGTTTCCAGAACGCTTGAGCAGCAAAACTTAATCGCCTATCCATCCAATGGAAAATTGTTCTTCTACACAACCACAGAAATACACCCAGACCAAGAGCTACTTTTCTACTACAGCCGGGACTATTGTCGACTTTTAGGTGAGATAGTGCTGACATTGTAGTCTTAGCGTGGCAATTGAAAGAAAAAGCCTTGTTGCATTATGGCACTGTTTAGAGCTCCCCAACTTTATGTTCTTTGTCCCAACAGAAAGAATCTTATAAAAGTTAAATCTGAACAAATCTTATCACAAAATCCAATGATAAGAAAACATGACATCTTTTCACGAGCTCTTGTGAAACTTTTTGCGTGTGAAAACTAATGATAGTAGGGAGCTGCTTTGACAGCAATTAAAAAGTTAGATGGATTTTATTAAATCTGGTCTGAAAGTGAGGTACCCCAGCTATACTTTTGATACCGATAAAAGTATGTATTTTCCGGCTCACACAAGGAACATTCTTAGTCATAAAATAATAACCCATTTTTAAATGCAATGTAATTTTTTTAATGGGGCTTTAAAATGCATTCAACCTTTGTTGTCTAACAATGCTGTCACATTCAAGTTTGATTTCAGATATATCTATTCAGTATCAACACAGGATTGTCTTAAGTGCAATTACAGCTCCAGAGTTTTTTTTATGGTCTATTATCTGAAATAATAGATCCTGTGTGCATAACCTGAACGATCTTATTTTTTCCTTTTATTCTGCTTTTGCGAAACGATGACAATAATTTTTCCCAATGAGGGACGAATAGATATGAGAGTTTTTCTTCTTCTGGGTGGATAATCTAGACTGTTGGTCCTCCAACAGTCTAGATTGGCATTCATTCTGGTGATATGCAATACAAATTTTTTTAGGCGATCCTTCTGAGGAAGAGGGTTCTTCTCTAAAATTTCGGGAAAATCCTTATATACATTTTATTACAAGTCCATTCTTGTTTTGTCCAGTCACATTTTCATGAACCACCTGTGGTCACAACACCATATTTCAAACTATATTTCAATAAGAGAAACTTGACTTAAGAAATGTCACATTTTGTCTGGTTTATGTTAAATATTTTTAGTATCAATACTTGCTAAATGATCTAGTTTTGAAATAACTTTTAGTATACTTTTTGATCCACATATATTGTAACTATATAATAACTGCAGAACAAAATACATGTCTTTTTTTATTTTTTATGATTAAACTACTTGTGCCTTCCCCTACATTTTGTCAGGAGTTCCCCAAGTTCCCGAAGGACAGATCTGCCAATGTGGAAAAGAGTGTTCGTCTTTCACAGAGCTCAAGTCACATTTGAACAATCATAATCAGCCTACGCACAGCCTTAGCCCATCCCAGCAGGACCACCCGCAGCCTCCCCCTCCTCAACAAATGGACCAAACAGCTCAACAACAACAACATCAACAGCAACAACAACAGCAGCAGCAGCAGCAGCAGCAGCAGCAGCAGCATCACCACCAAGAAGAGAAACTCACCAACGGAGTGTCCAGCTCGTCCTCTTCCCCCTGGTCCAACCACCCTCACAACCAAACATGCAGCGAGAACAACACAGAGGCCAATGGAGTCTCCAATAACACTACGGCAAAAGGGAAGGGCCAAGGACAGGCGAGAGAGAAGAAGTTCAAGTGCAGTATGTGCTCCAGGGCTTTCATTACCTCCACTAAGCTGAACGTGCACTTCATGGGACACGTGGGAATGAAGCCTCACAAGTGTGAATACTGCAGTAAGGCCTTCAGTGATCCGAGCAACCTCCGAATGCACCTCAAGATTCACACAGGTGCAGTGTGCTTGTATCATTGTTTGTTTGAATGTATGCACATGATGTGAAGTGAAAGAAAACATCATAGTCCTCATTTATCATAGCTTTGTCCAGCAAAAAAGCTTAGCATAAACTACATTGCACTGTAATTACATTGTATCAAGTGCTGTATAATGTATCAAGTACTTTTAATCGCTTGAAACATGTTGCCCTAATCCTTTATTCAGTTTGTTGTGTGTGTTGAGTAAAATGCAGTCAGCAGTTGAAAATGTTAAGTTCATTTTGAAGAATAAATTACAAATTATTTTCTCCCTAGTATGTGGTTGTAAGCATCATGCAGTTGAAAAGAAATATTAAAATTATACAGTTTTGTTGTTCAATGTTTATATTTATATGTTTCCCCATTTCTTTAGGCCAAAAGAACTTCAGATGTACAGTTTGTGAAAAGTCTTTCACACAGAAATCGCACGTGGCTTCTCACATGCTGATCCACACAGGAGCAGAAAAACTCAAGTGTGATCTGTGCGACCGGACTTTCATCAGGAAACATGACTTGAAGCAGCACATGTTCTCTCACACACAGTATGTACACACGATACACGTGAGCCATAACAATCAACGCATATCTGAACTTGACTATTTGTATTTTGCTTTTTCTTCTACTATAATTTCAGTGAACGCCGGATACAGTGCCCTAAATGCAACAAACATTTTCTGAAGACCAACCATCTTAAGAAGCATATGAACTCCCATGAAGGGCGCAGGGACTTTGTTTGTGAGAAATGCCATAAAGCTTTCCTCACCAAATACCACCTCACTCGACACCTCAAGATCTGCAAAGGACCTAAAACTGAGCGAGCATCCCGTAAAGAGCGTGCAGAAAGAGCGGAGGAAGAGGAGGAAGAGGAAGAGGAGGAGGTGGTGGAGGAGGAGGAGGAAGAAGACGGGCAGGAGGATGAGGAAGGCGACAGCAGTGGGAGAGAGGCTGATAGACTAGACTCTATCAGTCATGAAGCTTGTGATTTAGATGGTGCAGACTACAGCTCTGAAAAGTCATTATCTCCTCAACATTGAGAAATATTAAGTATCCCGAAATTATGATTATCCTTTCCACTACTATACACAAATATTGGTCAGTAAATTTTGTACTGCAATTACAATGAGAAAGATTCAACAATGGCGCTGCAAAGTAGGTTGAGCTTCCTGGTGGGGTTTTTCCATAGTGATTTTGAAAAATGATGACTTATTTGGGGCTGATGAGTAGTTTGAGGAGAAATGAACAGAAGAACAATTTACAATTGTCCTTTATGGGCTGAAAACAACCATGCGGTGGAAATGTTTATTCATTCATTGGAGGGAAAGTTAGCAGTGTTGGCTAATTTTCAGCCATAGTCCCATTGCCAGGATGATGCTATTATAACAGATCCATGGGTTGATGTCATGATATTTAGAATTTTCAAAACTACTATGGGAATTCGGGCGTTCTGCTCTCCCAAAATTCCATCCACTGAGCGGCGCTGTGATCAAAAAATGACACCGTTTGTTGCCCAGTTCACTTCCGGTTGATTTCATACAATGGCGAATATGGCTCACGAAAACAACAAGCGATTGACAGTGCCTGAATTGCGTGAAAGGTTGAAGCGAAAGGGTATTTGCAGTGTGGGAAAACGAAAGGAGGAATTGTTGTTGCTAGTTCAACGAGCGGATGGTGTTTATGAAGATTTAGAAGAAGATGACAGCGAGCAGAGTGAACGAAAACGGCTGTGTGTGCGAGTGACAGATGGTAACAATGAGAATGAAGTTCAGCTAAGAGGGAAGAATGTGAATTGGACGGATGATTTGCGCGATATGCCACTAGTTAGAGACGGGAATGTATTTGCATACAGAAAATGACGAAAACACTCAACCATTTAGAGAAAATGCGCCGGGCAGAGAGAACCGGAAGTTGCGAAGGCAAGTGTTACCCATAATGCAACGCAAAATTCAGTCGCTCCCCCGCCCATCGGATGGAATTTTAAGCTCCGCCCACATCACAGCTCCTTACCAAAGTACATCCACCATGCTCCGGACTCAACTCTAGAAAGCTATTGTTTGCCACTTTGCCAGGTGTTAAAATAAATTATTGTATATTTTTCTATTCCAACACGTCAAATAAAGCTGTTGAATTCATTGCCATCGGCCACTTACATTTCCTGAATCACTTTGCTCCTCTGGTTATTTCGATGCTTTTAATTTGTTAGTGAAATATACCCTGCGACTTCCGGTTAAAGTAGAAACGATGCGGCGCCGCGCCTGACACTTCTCAACAGCGTGGTATGGTCATTTATTGTGTTAGTGTGCGATGAGCTGTGTTGAAGTTGTATTGTATAAATTGTTTGGTTGTTTTGGATTCAGGACAGCACATAATGCCCAGAGAATACGTATTGATTACTGCATTTTGTAATTGTTTAAATAAGCTAACTAATGCTAAGCTAACATTTTGGGGATAGCACTTTCATTGCAGCTCAGCCTGGTCCCAATGTTTGTTTAGTCGGTTCTAAAAAATACAGTTTTTTGCAGTTACTCAATCGAGACCGATGCGATGTTTGGCAATGTCTAACGGCGTTTTGTTTTAGTCTGACCAGAAGAAAGCCATGTTGACCCCCCCAAAGGAAGGGTCGGCGAGTGTGATTGACAAGGCGCTGAGGATGAGACGGGAGGAGCAGGCTCGGCAGGTGGTCCTGGCCTGGGCTGTCCTCAACATGTCTTTAGCTGGAATGATTTATACTGAAATGTGAGTGACTATCGCTTTGTCTCAATGTATCGGATTTAACAATGGGCAGAGGCAGTACACAGATGGCTGTCATGGGTCCTCTTATAGACCTGAAATATTCAAATTTCTTTTACGAACTTCTGGGTAGGTTTCAAACGATGGAACAGAGTAATACAATCCATGTGACTTGTTCCTGACACTAAGACCAAGTCAAAAGTCATATATTTTAAATCCATGAAAAAGAGGACCACCTTCACTCAGCCAATCAGCTCTGTTATTAAAAGCTTCATAAAATGACTCAGGATACACTCTAAGCTCAGTACTCGCTATTACTATTTTCTTGTCTCTTTCTAATCCAATACAAACAGAAGGGAAGATTATTTGTGATAGTAAATACATTTTATTTTGTCCGATCGGAAAGTTGTGGGATGAGCAAAGCACATGTAACTGGATTGAGCATTCTCTAATGTTCTTGCTTAAAAAATTAAGTAACTTGACATTCACTTATATCTAGGTCTGGAAAACTGCTGAGCAGATTCTATAATATCACATACTGGCCTATCTGGTACATAGGTGAGTTCATACGCTATAACATATTTTAAAAAATGTCTGACCCCTTATTAAATGGCATGCCTTGGTCGTTTCTCATTCACGCAGAATTAGTGCTGGCGTCGTTGTTTAGCCTCAACGCTCTTTTTGACTTTTGGAAGTATTTTAAGTTCACCATGGCTCCAGCCTCGATTGCGGTATCTCCAGATCAACACCGCCTTCTTGGACTATCAGGAACAGGTAAGCTATTAAAAAGTTTAATTGATCCCTGCCTAGTAAATGGTAACCTTTTTGTTCAATGTTTGATAATCAAGGTATTCAGGTGTCTCCAGTGCAAAAACCTGAAAAGAAGGAAACTCCAGCTCCTGCTCAGTCGTCTCCACTGCAGGGTCAAAGTGTCCTAAGCTTCAGTCCGTCTCGACCTCCAACTACGAGTCCCAAGTTTTCCCCAAGCTGCGTACCAAGCTACAGCCCTGCACTCAGCACTCCTTCCACTCCCAACAGCGTGGGCGGACACTTTTCATCCTCCATCAACTTTGGAAAGGTTTGTGTCTGGAAATGTTATTGGTCCAAAGAATTATAAATTAGGACTTGACTGTTCACAAAGCATGGTTTACATTATTTCAGTTTTTTTCAATGGTTGATAATTGTTTTAACTAATTAGTTGCAGCAATTACTGTTATATCTATTTTATAATTTGTATTTTTATTACTTTTATTTATTTCTTGGCGGCTTCAGTTTTCCAGCTTGCATGCAATCTCTGTACACCTCCTCATGCTTGCTTCTCAAATGTCCAATGAGATTCTTTGTGCTAACCCATTTAGGCCTAAAACGCCTGGTAAAACATACCTGTAAGTAATCTTTATTTATATAGCAGAGTCACGAAGCGGTTTACAATTGTGGGCATATGTCTCTCACTCCACACAGAGATGGGAGCGAGGTCGCCAGTACAGGAGGTGCATGCCAGACCTATTGTCCATGTTTTTAGTGGTAGGGGAAACCGGAGCACCCGTAGGAAACCTACGCACACACGGGGAGAACATGCAAACTCCACTCAGTCAGCCATAGGTTTTACTTTCTATCGAACCACCCTCTAATAGTGTATTATTTTAAACCTTCAGCAGAATAATATGAAGAATATTATTAATATTATGTAAATAATAATATACAACTTCCACATATTGGAAAGATGATGTGAGAAAAACGACTATTTCTCAATACAATAAGTTAACAAGTGGCACTAACTGTGTGGAAAAAAATATAAAAATATCCACTCTCAGCCCAAAAAGTAAGTAATGATTCACAGGGCTCTCAAGTATGCAAAATAAAAAAACAGACGCCTTTTTTGGTTTGTTCTGTTTGATTTGTTCATAACATTATACTTTTGAGTACAACCAACATGCATTTTTAATGCTAGGAAAATTCAGTCCTTTATACTCTTGTTACTTTTGTTTCATAAAAAAAAATTACCAAATGGTTGACATCCTAAGTTGGCAGCGAGCTAGCGGCACGCGCTTTCTCACTGGACTTTGGGAGATCACGCTCTACAACTCTTGATTCTAGGCAAGGCAAGTTTATTTGTATAGCACAGTTCATACTCGAGGCAACTCAAAGTGCCAAACAAGACATTACAATCATACATAATCAGTATACATTAAAAAAGAGTGAAGATGAAATTCTTCAACTAAACAGAAGAAAGTTGTTTTGCATCCACTTGAGTGTGTCTCAAGTCAAATAATAATTTCTGGAGACATTGGAGTTTAGATCCAGTTTATTACATGTTTTCTTGGTATTATCCCTTCAAATCAAGGTGGGACCAGGATGTAAAATTCACATGTCCTGAATGCTTAAAAAATGTCTTGTTGCAGGTGCTAAACTACAGCCCGTCCCCGGGTTCTTCTCCTTTCCCAAGCAGCATTGGTCCAGTTGAAGGTTCAGGATTAAGGGCCCGATATCGCACCTCGCCATCAGTATTCAACTCTCCTGGAAGCAAAGAGGACTACATGGAAGATCTGAAAAGCTTGGAACAGTTTCTTCGGTCAGAGGAGGAAAAGTCTCATAGAAGCCAGCTAGGTATGCTTTTTTTCATGTTATCATTATTCCGATATTGGAATGCTAGATGTTGTGTATAAGGCAACATTATATAATATATATTTTATTCTAAACTGGACTCAAATTAAGCTAAAAAGAGGTATCCTACTGGACCAAATAAAAAAATGTGCACATTTTCATGTTGTTTCAGATTAATTTTTACAATATTTGCCATTTGCAGTTAAACCACATTGGAATACATTTGCAAAGGTCCCCAGTGTGCACAAGAACAAGTACATACATAAAACAAGGTTAAAGTTACAGAGGAAAAAAAAACTCAAAGTGCGAGAAACGATTGACACTGAAATATAATAATTAGGGCTGTCAAAATTATCACGTTAATTACCGTTTTCATTAACGCGGTAAAAAATATTTAACACATTAACTGCCATAATGGCACGTTAAACGTGAAAACGGCTAGATGCACATGTGTGAGTTTTCTGGTGATTTCAATAAAACTTACCTCTACTCGACTGGGGATTACAGGGGAACGAAACAAGCTAGAAACAAAATAATTTTTGCTGATAAAAGTAGACAGTCCATTCTTTCAGAGTCTGGTTTTGGATTTAGATAGTCATAGTACACAATATTCTGTGGGTCTTAAATTCTGTAAAAATCATCAGAAACGGCTGGCAATATGGGAGTACCTGTTCTGAAATAGGCTGGCAGTCAATCACATGTCCGAATGACCCGCCCATTTATAATAATATCACTCAGAATGCCACGGACACGTGCGTGTGTGATGGTGACAGCGGTAACGTGGTCATATAATACACACATATATACGCACAGGGGCCATTCTCTGATGTTGTGTGACACACGGAGGAGAGGAAACACGCTGAAATGCAACCAAACTCGCAAAATTAAAGCTGGGGTACCTACATTTTCCCTTTCATTAACAGCTCTTGTTGGTTGTAACCAAAAGTAGAAGGTTGTGCAAGTCAAACAGATTTAAGTACATTTGGTATGAATAACAATGTGTCATTACATTTGAAAATCTCATTTAACTTCAATTGAAGTGGATTTGAAATAGAATGTTAAAAATGCGATTAATCGTGAGTTAACTCACCATTACTATGCGATTAATCAACTAAAAAAATCGTTTGACAGCCCTAATAATAATATATAATGATTTTTTTTAAGTGTCTGGATTCATAAAGAACTTCTAGAACAGGCTGCTCACAGTCCTCTTTGCGTGGGGAACACCTTGTTTAGAGCTCTCCTTTCGGGCTGTGATGTCACAAACCACACATTCGCAGAACCAACAAGCAAACCGTTAATGGTGCGGCGATAAAAGTTAAGCAGGATCTTAAGCTGTGTTCAAACCGCCAATGCATTGACGTTCGTAGATGGACATCCTGCCCTGTGTTGGCTGAACTTTTTAACAGTCACAGTAGAATGTCAATTCAAGGTGAAGACACATGTTCACAAGCACCGTGTCCCTCAGTCCTGGTTTAGTTCCTGTTTTGGTTTTGAGTGTCTTTAATTTCCTGGTTTGGACCGGCATATGTCCTTATGACCACTTTGCTGCTCTATGGTTGCCGCACGTGTGTGGAGCGAGGATCTCCAGCTTTTGCAGGATGCATCTAGCCACTGTACCCACCACCTCTTCCGCGCCGCAACAAGGCGTCTGCCGCGTAGGATAAACGTGCGTGCTGTGACGTCCATTCAAAAACGTTTTGCTTCATCCGATGTCTTAAACCAAATCAAGGGACATTTAGAACAGGAATTAATGTGCAATTTCATATTTTGTGTCGAACAATGTGTCTACTAAATTGTTTCAGGAATTGATTAAAGGCAAACGCTGTTGAGTATTCAAGCCTTGAGCCTATTCCTAAAAAAATTATACATTACATACACATTTATAGTTATTTTGGCTTTAAAATGCAGTTGAACTAAAGATCCCTTGGAGCCAAAGGAAAAGAATACCTTAGGGCTTTTTTCAGTTCTAACGCCTTAATTGACCTGTTTTTGTTGTTGTGAATATTTATTTTCATTTAGTTATCCAAAAAAGTGAAATTTATCTTGATCTTGTCAGGTAGCCCAGAATCTGTGTCTCCAAATCACAGTCCAACATTTTGGAATTACAACCGCTCTGTGGGTGATTATGCTCAAAGCCTGAGGAAATTCCTGTATCAGCCAGCCTGTCGCTCTCAGGCTCCATCTGCACACAAAGATGAGACGGACCTTGGCTCCAAACAGGCTGCAGAGGAGGTGTGAAAACTGCCAGGTTGTTACATTTTTTATTCAAATTATTGTTTTTTTTATTGGTTTTCTGTACATTTGTATGCAGGTGTGGGCAAGGATTACAACTAGCCGCCTTGTCGTGGACAGCATTGACAGCTGGACTGCAAAACTTAGAAATGTAAGCAGGATTAATCACGGCATGTACATTTTTTTAAGACACTTTATCCATGCACGCATTTACTTTTGTTTTTTAATTTTGACTGAATTTCAGTGGATTAGTGACACCATATTGGTCCCTTTGGTTAAAGAAATAGACTCTGTAAACAGCCAATTGAGGAGAATGGGCAGTCCTGAACTCCAAATAGGAGGTTTGGATCAAGTGTTAATTTTTTATATTTAAACACTTTGATGGATGTGAAATTTGCCTTTATATGCATTTTCAATACTTTTTCTTTTTTTGCATCATAGAGGCCAGTATAAGTAGTCTAAAACAAGCAGCAGTAATGAAGGCATCGTCCATTCCTACAATGAACTCCATTGTCCTGTACTTGGACGTTACTCCCAATCAGGAATATCTTGTGGAGCGAATACGGGGTAGGATGACCATACATACATATATATAATACACACACAACCTTGCTTGGCATTATTTTTTGTAATCTTTCATTTTTACTTCTAGAGCTAGCACATAGCGGCTGCATGAGCTCCTTCAGATGGAGCAGAGGTGGTGATCTAAAGAACAGGAAGTGGGACAATGACCTCCCCACGGACTGCGCTGTAAGCACATCAGCATTAGAGTAATGACTCGATAGACCATTATTGTTATACACATGTTCTAATTACAACATTGGGTCCATTGAAATGTGTTGGCTTTCTGTCTTCAGATCCTTATGCATGTTTTTTGTACTTACTTGGACTCAAGACTACCTCCGCATCCCAAATATCCAGATGGGAAGACTTTCACGTCTCAGCATTTCAGCCACACTCCAGATAAACCTGGTACATATTTTTTACTGGTCAAATGGTGGTTATTAATCTGAAGTATAATTTCATTTATCTTGCTCATTGTATTATAATGTGACTTTCCCGAACAGATGTGACTAAGGAGAACCTCTTTTGTATTCACCAAAGCAGCACGACACCGCCCCATTACCAGCTCATCTATCAAGGACACATCTACAGCCTACCTAAGGTACCTGGGTAACTGCTGGTGACATTAGAAAAAATATGTTGGATTAGTTGACTAGTTTACTACTAAAATAATTCGGGCGTTCTGCTCTCCCAAAATTCCATCCACTGAGCGGCGCTGTGATCAAAAAATGACACCGTTTGTTGCCCAGTTCACTTCCGGTTGATTTCATACAATGGCGAATATGGCTCACGAAAACAACAAGCGATTGACAGTGCCTGAATTGCGTGAAAGGTTGAAGCGAAAGGGTATTTGCAGTGTGGGAAAACGAAAGGAGGAATTGTTGTTGCTAGTTCAACGAGCGGATGGTGTTTATGAAGATTTAGAAGAAGATGACAGCGAGCAGAGTGAACGAAAACGGCTGTGTGTGCGAGTGACAGATGGTAACAATGAGAATGAAGTTCAGCTAAGAGGGAAGAATGTGAATTGGACGGATGATTTGCGCGATATGCCACTAGTTAGAGACGGGAATGTATTTGCATACAGAAAATGACGAAAACACTCAACCATTTAGAGAAAATGCGCCGGGCAGAGAGAACCGGAAGTTGCGAAGGCAAGTGTTACCCATAATGCAACGCAAAATTCAGTCGCTCCCCCGCCCATCGGATGGAATTTTGGGAGAGCAGAACGCCCGAATTGCTGGTGCGCTACATAGCGATGCCTCGAGAATTGTGACTTAGAACAGAAAAAGGAAGCTAGCTTATATTCTAGCTAACTATCTAAAAGAGTGACTGGATTGGAGAAAAACCCACATTGCTCAACTACATGTACAAATTCTGATCCAGCCCATTTAATTATCTTATTGAAATATTGTAGCCTTTATGAAATTTGTTACTCAGACTAACCTTGACTATATTACACACTGATCCTGAGCCGTCTTGATTTCTATTACAGGGGAGAAACAACTTATTCCACACAATCCTTATGTTTCTTTATGTGATCAAAACCAAAGAATCAGGGATGCTCGGGTAAGTGTATGATAGTCTGTCTCTGGCATTTTACTAATAGCATGACGCAATTTGAACTTGGGTAATAGAAGACTGCAATTACTATCTAATGTTATGTTTTTATTTCCACAGGAGAGTAAACCTGGGCCTCTCTGGTGTCAACATCTTGTGGATATTTGAAAGCTAAGGTAGAACTCCCTGGTGGACACTGCCATCTGCTTATGGATTTTTATTGGCCATCATGAGCACCTCACTTCAGTTTGACTTTGAGTATGAGATGATTAGGTCACTGCTGCATTGATAAGTCTGAGGCCTGTAGTTTGAAATGGTGTTTTTGTTTACCTTTCAAAGCACGAATGTAGCTTACTTTGTATTTGATGCATTGGTATGTCAGCCTTGTAAATATTATACCTCCAAGACCTCTCGTTTGTGGAGTACTTGCTTGAATTGAAATATTTCTGGAATGTTTGGTTTGCTATGACATTGATTATAGACATTTTAGATATTTTTTACTTTCCATTTATATAAATACACCACAAAAGATGAACAAGTTGTGAGAACCACACAAAAAGTTTGGGATGTTGGATGCTTTTTAATTTCCAAAGCCAGGAATGTTTGTTAATATTTTTATATACAAAATAAACCACTTCAAAGTGAAACATCCTACCATGTTGTCAGTGTTTAGACATTTGATTACTTGGTATTTGAAGTTTTATAATTTAAATCTAAGTGAAGTGACTTTTTTTAGGCAATACTGTAACCACCCCCCTCAAATAACTTTCTGTATAACATTGTTTTCAATCATTGTGCTGTGGTACATTAGTGTGCCTTGGGAAAGATTCCAATATCTCATAATTGGTGTGATATCATAATGTGGGAAGATTTGAATTTTTTTTGCGCTTGTTTCATTTTCTTTATCTACTTTGATAAGAAAGACTTTGCTTTCATACTAAAAGTTGCAAAGTTTAATGTTTCAGCTGGTGGTGTGACATGTGAGTGTTTTCAACCAAAAAGGTGTGCCACGGTTAATGCATACTATATTGAAAATTATACTCCAAAAAAAAACCACGTGGTGGCAGTATTGCGTAGAGACCGCCTTTGACCTTCTGGGACTACAGCATGGATCTAGTATATGTCTGGGACTCATTTCCCTGATCATAGGGCATCTCCATGGATCTGGGCATCTCTGGACTCATTCTATGCAACAAAGCCAGCTACAATTGCTGCAAATTATATTGACCTATGTCACTTGAGCATGAGCATAATATGCATATATATCAGAAAATGTACTACTTCAGAGTAAATAACTATCAAATAATTAAGTTATGATAGTTGTAATTCTATATAATTTAAATTTTGATTAAAAATATGAAGGATGCACCATCTTTAGCTTGCATTAATCATGTTTGGTCTTAATTTCTATTCATTCCTGTTGTCTGAACTGCATTTCCCATAATGCACTGGTATCTATATGCCGAACAACCACAACCTCACATCGCACAAAAGTTTGCTCTCCAAAAGATGCATGCATATTGGGAGTGTTGACTTGAAAAAGAAGTGTTTCTCAAATGCGGAAGAAGCTGATAGGAATAGAGGGAACCCCCATGGAGGAGCGCCAAAGCACAGATGAGAGTGCGTCTTGCCTTGAGTGCGACAAGACACAGATTTAATGAGCTAGGTTATTTTTCAATGTAAACCAAAGCTTTATCCTTAAGCACTTGCCTGTTGGGATTCATTGGGTGAAGTGGAGAGACTACACTAACCACAATGCCCCTGTAGTCTGTTGCTGTCGCGTGCACGTCACTTCCGCTCAGGTCTGTGTTGGAAAAAGGACTTTGTGAAACTGCGGCGATGTCAGTCCAGGTTGTGGCGGCGAAAATGGCAGAGGTCGAACTCAAAGACGTCCCCAGCGGCAAAGACCTCTCGGCTGGACCCTCTCTGTCCGCTGGTAAAGGCCTAGGTAAGAGCGAGGCCACTTCCACGTCCACCGCGGCGTCTCCAACTGCCGAGTCCACTGGCAACCCCGGGAAGATGCCCCAAGCCTCCGCTCTGAAACGCACGGACCCGCAGCAGAACGGCGGAGAGGCGTTTGTCAATCGGGACGGGACCGTGGCAGAAGCTCCGCGAATGAAGAAGGTGAGAGATGGGTCCTTTTTTGTAGCGTCAATGCTTGCCGCTAGCGAGAACCACGTCGCCGCATTGTGGTAACTACGCAGTGCAAAGCAATGGGACTGTGTGCTAACGTGCTAGCTTGACCCGCAAACTGAGCTTGAAAACTCGATAATGAAGCATGTCAGTGGAAAGTGTTAGATTAGACTTGTTGGAATATTGTTTGACCATATTTGCTTTGAATTTTCCGCTGACACGAGTGTACCTAGAGTCAAAAAAAGAGTTTGCAGATGAACTAACTGCAGACCATATGCTTGTCAAATAATTTCATTAGCTTGTATTGATTTTGTTTTGAAGTTTGGTTTAATTTCAGTACCTCACCCAACATCATCGAATGGTTTTGCGTGCCATTGCCTTAAAGCAACTTTTGATATTACGCACAGCCTCAGGACACGTGGGACTCTCATTTAAGGCTGCGTCCCAAACATTGAGCTCATTGTACATTTTATTTTGGTCACAAACTCAGCCTTACCCTGCTCTTAAATATTGTCTCTGACAAGGATATTCTAAGGTAATGACACAACTATAGGCATTACCTTAGTAATTGCAGCATCTACGATGCTGCAATTACATTCTATCTAATCTTATATCTAAGTGTACTTTGGAGAAAAAAAGTGCATTTATTTTATAATCCTAAAACACCAGCTAACGAGTTCCTTTGTGAAACTAATTTAGACCCTTTTGGTTGGCCACTAAAATAGCTCTGCCTACATATTTGGGCAGATGCATAAATCACAAAATCGAATCTGTATTGCTCCCACACACACACAGCGGGCAAAATGTCAGTGTTGCAGTGTAAGTTTAAGAATTACGACTAAAGGGCTGTAATATTTATGCTTACTATGTAATTAGCGGTACTAGCCAATAGGTTATAAGATACGTTTGATCTCACAACAGAAATCTACATGCCACATTCTCATAGGCTCACACAAGGTGTGAAAAAATGTTTCAAGGTTAAATCAAGTTTGCTGTGTTTTAATAATCAACTGACCTGTAGAGAAATGGGGCTGCTCCATTAATCACAATCAAATCAAAATGGCAATAAAAGGGAAATATTTGCAAAGGCAAATGTATAGAATACATACTTTCCATTTTGTATTGTAATCATTTGAATATTCCATTCACTGTCTTCAAAGGGAATTACTCTTATGTAATTTGGTATTGAGCACAAGGGTCTATGTAATGTAAACAGTGAACATATCTTCATTGTTTTTAGATTTCAGTTTTCCCTCAATGGACTTTTTATTTCAATTCTCCTCGCTTCATAAGATACATTTCAAATCAAATCACAATGGTTAACTGAGAAATCACAATTTGATATTTGTTTATTATTATTCAGAATAGGGCTGTAATGGATCCAAATCTCACAACACAAGAATTTCAGCAATATTGTGAGTAATCAGAATCAGAATCAGAATCATTTTTATTGCCACGTAAGTAACAGGAGGTCACAGACTAGGAAATTGCTTTGGCTCAGTGCAACAGTCAAAAAGAGATAATAAAAATAAGAATAAGTGAGTAAGCTCAGCTCATGGTATAAACAACAACATACCATGAGCGGCACGGTGGCTGAGTGGATAGCACTCTCGCCTCTCAGCAAGAAGGTCCTGGGTTCGAATCCCGGTCGGACCAGGGCCTTTCTGAGTGGAGTTTGCATGTTCTCCCCGTGTCTGCGTAGGTTTCCTCCGGGTACTCCGGTTTCCCCTACCACTAAAAATATGTCCAATAGTTCTGGCATGCGCTTCCTGTACTGGCGACCGCTCCCATCTCTGTGTGGAGTGAGATACAAATGCCCAAAATTAACAATTGTAAACCGCTCTGAGACTCAGCTCTGCAGTGTAAAGGCGGTATATAAATAAAAACGTACTAAAACTTACTAACATAAAAGTCGGGAACATCAATTCACTTTGGTGAATTAATGTCAACTTGGTGTTGGTTGGGGCTTTGATGCGCCAGTGTGTTTGGTGACTCGCTTCTGTCATCAGTGTGTGGAGAGAATGAAATAACTATCTGAACAATTTTAAAGCGCTTTGGCTGACCTTGGTCTGTAAAATGCATTAAATAGATACACATTACTTACTGACACGGTTCAATAAAACTAATTGTAACTGTAAACAATAGCGACTAATCACATACGTATTCAATGTTGTTTCTGTCGATTCTTATGCCCCTATGTTGTAGTTTGTTTTTTTACTGGACTGCTCTGTCACTAAGAAAGTCTAAACTTTCAGGGTTTGTCAGCAGACTGTCAGCCACTCGCCCTTTGGGCAAGCAACATTTATATTTTACTCGCCCAATGTCAAAAGTTACTTGCCCAAATATTTCTCAATACAATTAGTTAAAGTGGTTCTCACCCCCGCTCCTCAGAGCTTACGTCACTCACATTTCCTTTTCAAATCTCCCTCTAAATGGGCGTAGCCTGGAGGACTAAAGGGGACTGGCGGGGGGTGAATGTTGGGAGGGTCTAGACTGTGAGTGACACTTGACATCAGCATTGGCCCTGTCAAAGATGGAGAGTGATCAGACACCAGCTCTATAGATTCTGTGCAGTCTTAGGAGGTGGAGAACTTCTCTTGAGTGAGAGGAGGCAGACGGCGGCCCCCAGCCCTATCAATTTGAGCCGCTAGCTCCCGGCTAACGAGCTAGCGCCGCTAGTAGAGCTAGCTGCTAACAAGCTAGCTGCTAACAAGCTAGCGCCGCTAGTAGAGCTAGCAGCTACCGGCAGCTGCCTCTGCAGCAGACCGCCACAGAATGAGGGCTGTTTCTGAATATCGATTAGAGTGGAATAAAAAGTACGAACTACTTGTCACAGGTAGCCTTCCCATATTCCCTTACAGTAACCGCTTATGTTGCGGTTCTTTTCTTCTTCTACCCAGACCAAGATAAAGTATAATGTTGTGGTGGTCATATAGTTATACAATTCTAAACTCAGCCACAGTAACCTGCGGCCACAAGGGAAATGATACCCCAATGTGCACAAAAGAGAAAGTAATTTAACACACGCGCAAACGTAAAGTGGTATTTATTGTACACAAGTACAATATGTAATGAAATTGCACACAATATAGTCCACTAGTAATACTGACAAGTCTTAAACTAAATTCAGCTAACTAATCTAATAAAAGCAAATAATGACTAAACTCATATTCAACAACCATGCTATTAACACTACACAATTATCTATAATACAAACAGCTATGCTATTCTCCCTAAAGACTATTACTAATCGCAAACCTGACAATCTATGAAAATACACTGTTGTTCCTTCTCCAACTCGCTACGGGGGCGTGAACGAGACTGGGCCCTTCACGCTCAATGGCCAGCAGTGCAACTGACGTCAGGTCCAACTTCTGTGCCAGTGTTGGCGCCAGATTCAAAAATCAAATGTAGTAATACAGGTCGCCTGCAGATAGCACCCCAGACGGTTTTAGGCAGAAGGTTGATCTTTCAACTAATTTGCACCAAAGTGACAAAATTATGACCAGGATATGTAGACAACACAATTGGACACTCATTTATACCGTTTATCAGCTGGATTTGAGGGTGAGTTGTCCTTTAACAAGACTTTGGCAATAAAGTGTCACTAACTGTGGGGAAAAAAATCCACTCTCAGCCCAAAAAGCCAAATCTACAATGGAATGGTTCACAAATAGACATATCCAGGTGTTAGAATGGCCAAGTCAAAGTCCAGACCTGAATCCAATCGAGAATCTGTGGAAAGAGCTGGATACTGCTGTTCACAAACGCTCTCCATCCAACCTAACTGAGCTCGATTTGCAAGGAAGAATGGGCAAGAATTCCAGTCTCTCGATGTGCAAAACTGATAGAGACATACCCCAAGCGACTTGCAGCTGTAATTGCAGCAAAAGGTGGCGCTACAAAGTATTTGCGCAAGGGGGCCGAATAATATTGCACGCCCCACTTTTCAGTTTTTTATTTGTTAAAGTTAATTCTAACCCTAATTCCAATAAATTTCGTTCCACTTCACAATTGTGTCCCACTTGTTGATTCTTGACAAATTAAATTTTTATATCTTCATGTTTGAAGCCTGAAATGTGGCAAAATGTTGAAAGGTTCAAGGGGGGCAAATACTTTCGCAAGGCACTGTATAATCGGTGCATCCCTAAAAATACCTACTTTACTCTTCAAAAAGCCAATATTTGCATAGCTTAAATTTGCATGTTTTTTTGTTTAGGTCCATGGCCATGTTTGTGAACAAAGGGATGGAAAATATATATTTTGTATCCGATTAACCGATTAATTGAAGAAATAATCGACAGATTAATCGATTATTAAAATAATTGTTAGTTGCAGCCCTAATTCTGAGTGTTTCTTTTTTTGGGCATTCTCGCGGATTTTGGGCTGGAAAATATTGCCGGCATTTGGAATGTGTGCATCGATGTGAGTGGTTGAAAGCAGACGTCATTCAAGAAAACGAACAAGTGGTTTATCCAATCACATACAAGGATTTGTTTCTACAAGGCCCTGCCTTCTGAAATACAACTCCTATCAAGGAGTACCAGACCAATGGTGGAGAATGGCGGAACTACATGGGTCTGGCAGAGCCAGGCTATAGTAAAGATATACCTTTGAATTAAAATGTGTACTTTTTTGTTGGGCCATAAATCAGTTTCACAGAAATAATGTAGTGCAGTCACATTAAAGCAGCTTTATCTGCCCATGCATTTGTGATGTAATGTTATGTCATGCATTAATCTGCTGTGTCTCACAGCATTGACCTATGGCTGGCCTGCTCAGTGAGTGTGTCCCATTTGACAGTAGTGCTTGGCTTCATCCTTGTTTTAGCTGTGTACACTGCACTGCCAGCCTAATACATTTTCTCTCATTCAAATATAACTGCCTTTGCTAAGACCCAGAAAAAGTTCCTCTTGTCCTTTATGTGGCATTTGTATGGAATATTTTTTGTGTCATCAGATTTAGAAGGTTATGGAGGGACTTGTAGGTGA